CGTAATATATTCGTGCTATTTAATATACTATTTGTCAGCAATTTTCTATAATTTTTCAAGTCGGCAATTTATGCGAACAACATGTCATTTATATTAAGTACCAGTTGTAAAAAATGACGTAAAAGATATAGCAAAGACAAAGAAAAATAAAAAAAGAGATCTGGAAAATAATAATATCTTTGAAAAAAGATTTTTCTCACACTGTATCAATATGTACAATAATTGCAAAGAGCTCTTTCACCAAATAAAAAAAAAAAGAGAAAAAAAACAAACTCTGAAGTATTGCAATGGATGTATTTTTAATAAATAAATTGTAAATTTATCAAGACATTAATTGAATTGTTTATACTATTCGTTACTATAAGTAGAAATCGCATAACTTTAAAATTCATACTCGCCAAAAAAAAATAATTTGCACTTGTAACTTCGTCACAATACTGATATCTTTCGTTAAATCGATAATTATAGTATTCAACAATAATAAAGAAAGAAACTGATTTTTTTTTCCCTCATCCCTCTGACAAGTGGATATAATGGCAGGATACAATAAGAGTGACTAAAAGATCTTAAAAATATTTAAGAATTTGCGTGTACATCAATTATGCAGTCATGCAACTATCTCCTTCGCGACATTACGTTAATAACATCTGTAGAGAGGAAGAGAAAAGATTTCAAGATGTATAAATACACTCGCCAATATGATGCAGGAGTTTATTTTATCATAGTAGCTTATTATCGCGTGTTCGTATTGAAATATATTTTAGCGTTCTATGTTCTGTGTCCTATATTCGACGGTAAGAGCTAATTGTTGAAAACAAACTAGAAAGAAATTAAGAAATTTGTTCCCGAAACCGACATATTCATTAAAAGTTACAGAAACGTGGTAAAAATTGTGGTAAAAAAAATGAAGAAAAGAATGGTACATTTAAAAAGAATACTGCTATTTCGATATTTAGATTATAAAATAGGGGGAAAAGGGCAATTAAGAGCCAGCGCGGTAATTTGTGCGCATATGTTTTATCAAATTACAATCAAATTACATTGACATTTTAACTAATAATAAGTGATGATAGGCATAATCATAAAAAGCATACGTTTCGGTTCTTTTTTTGGACCCTTTTCAGCGCAATTACAAAGTAAATGAAATATATTATATTAAAAATGTGTGTAATAATAATATACAGAACAAGTAAGTCACCCATGTTATCAGAAAGCAAATGTTATAAAATAAACCTTCGAGATAGAATAATAATAAATAAATAAATAATAAAATTTTTGCCGGTGAGAAACAGATGGGGAAAAACATACGTTGCAATGTATAAATGCAATCGCGTGTGTGGTGCGGAAGTTCATTTTATTTCTGCAAATCGTACACTGTCGCGTTCTGGAACGTTGTGCTGAAAAACTTATTTTTTAAATATTTTGTTTTTTCTTTTTGCCAATAATTAATTGTAATTTAATCTAGTACTTTATATTCATGTAGATGC